CGTCTCGCAAACCAACCCTTGCCCGGGAACCCGGAGCGTCGGGAACCAGGCCTGCTCGGGGGTATCCGAGCCACCAGAACAGAACAGGGTCAGCATCGAAGCGCCCAGGCGTCGGGAGAGCTGATTGGTTCCCCGATAAACCAATCAGCGGGCGAGGCTGTGCACTGGTAAGGGAGGGCCAAGATTACAGAGCGGATGGAGTTAAAGGAAAAGGGGCAGGTGTGCCAGGCACCAAGGGTTTGCGTGCACTTTTGCACACCCACCTGGTCATTATTAATCCCGGAACTCTGGTCTGCTAAATTCCACCTTCCGAGTTTCCCAGTTTCATAACGTTGAATAGGGGAAGAAACATTACCCTAACGTTCATAAAACGGTCACGAATGGTCAATGGAAGAGTAGCCGTAGGGTTGGGGGAAGGCCATTAAAATCCTTCCTCTCTCCTTTCCCAGTTCCACTCCAGGTTGTCAACCGAACTCAACCGGTTCTTGAAATAGTAGATCACTCAAACTCTCGCTTAATCGCCAAAACTGATTACCAAAATGCTATCATTAGACACCTGGAAGAAGGTTCCCCCTCCCCAAGGACTGGGGGAAATAGTATTGGCGTTTACTAAAGGCGCAGGGTTTTCCTACCTGCTAAAGGAGAAGCGAATGAGCTCTTAGGCTGAAATCAGAGAAACTGAGACCTTCTGAACTGTGCAACCAAGCACGGGGCCGCGGCCGCTTCCAGGGCTCGGACAACCGCCCCACCCCGCAAACCCTGGCGCAGGGACAGTTCCTCCAAGCGCTACCTCACAAACTTCACGCGGAGGCACAAAGATTTGGGGGTAATGGGAGCACAGATACCAGATTTCCCTTTTGTGTTTCAAACTTCAGCAGAGCTGTTCCACGCTCTTTCTTCCAAGTGTCACAGCCACCAGATTCACAGCCGCGTCCAGCCTTAGCTTTCCCACGGTCCAGCGCTGCCACCCACCCATCTACCACCCAAACACGGGCTGGAGACGCCGCGCCCTCGGGGTTGGGGGAAAGGGGAGTGGGAAAAGAGAGAAATGGCCAGTGTCAGTCAAGAGGTGCCCGCCCAGGCCTGGACGCCAGCGGCCAGCGGAGGGCCCTGGGGCCGAGGAACAAGGAGAGAGGAAGGCTGGAAGCGTGCGGGGAAGGGCCGCGAGAGCAGGGGCGCCGCCGGTGTCGCTGCACTCACTCTGCGTAGCCAGTGGCCCAGGGCAGCCGCCGGGTCTCCTTGAGAATGAGGATGGGGCGGGCGATGTGGTCGGCGCTGCACTCCACCTCGTCCTGAGACAGCCCCAGGAACTCGGGTCGCCCGTAGGGGAAGCGCAGGGGCAGGTCCGAGCCTCCGCCGCCGCCGCCGCCGCCGTGCTCGGAGCCTGAGCTGCCAGCCATGATGCCGCCCATGAAATTGGCCACGGCAGATTTCACTCGAGTGAGCATATTACTCCAGCGCCCGGCAGCAGCTGTGCGAGCAGTGGGCGGCGGCTGGGGCCGGGCGAGGCGCAGCGCGGGGCATGCAGGCTGCGGCGGGCGCACGGGCAGCCGGGCCGGTGGGCGCGCCGCGCTGCTCCCAGAGCCTAGTGCTGCAAGGGGCCGAGCTCCGGCCTCCCGCGCTCAGTGCAGCCGCCGGCGCCCCCTCCCCCCGCTACACTTCCGCAATGGAGCGGCATGGAGCGGGCCGGCCGGGCCGGGGGAGATGCCGCGCGCTCCGGGAGCGGCTGGGCGGCCGCAGCTTCAGCAGGTCCCTTCCCCGCCTGCTGCGCTCGACTCCTGCGTGAGCGGAACTGAGCCTACCCGGCGAGCCCGCGGAGCCGGCGCGGCTGCTGCCAGAGCTACAGCCGCCGTCGAGTCATGTGATAATACGGCTGCAAGGGCTCCAGCGGCTGCGGGGCCGTAGCTCAGCCCCTCCCCTGCCAGCCCGAGCGAGGCTCGCACCCGGACCGTGACCTCCTGGGGTAGGAGGAGCTACGCCAGGTCTGTACCTGGAGGAGAGGATGGGGGCGCTGTGAGCTGGTGGAGGTACAGGTGTTAGGGGAGGTCACGTGGAGCCGGGCCTCCGGGAAAAGCCAGTTGAGGAATCCACTCGCGGAGAAATGCCGCCTGCGCCTTCGAGAAAGGAAACTTCGGGAGCTGAAAGGGGAGACAGGTGGAATCCCGGTGGGACGGCTCCAAGGCCTGTAGCGGAAAGAGGAACACCTGGTGTGAGAGATTTCGGAGCTTTCAAGAAACAAAAAGCAACAACCCACAATGGTTGCACAAAAATCATTAAAAGTTTTTCCCGGGCTTCCCTGGTGGCGCAGTGCTTGAGAGTCCGCCTGCCGATGCAGGAGACGCGGGTTCGTGCCCCGTTTCGGGAAGATCCCACATGCCGCGGAGCGGCTGGGCCCGTGAGCCATGGCCACTGAGCCTGCGCGTCCGGAGCCTGTGCTCCGCAAATGGGAGAGGCCACAACAGTGAAAGGCCCGCATAACGCAAGGAAAAAAAAAAAAAAAAAAAAAAAGTTTTTCCCTAGGCATTTCTAAAATTCCTTTTCTTTTTTTTTCATTACCACCACACGCATCATTATCTGCGAAGCAGACCCTGTTTCGAACCCAGAATAAGCTTAATAGCGAAGAAAAAAGAAGAGCTCTAAGAAATCAGAAGCAAGCACCATTTTACCTAGTACTTAACTGCTTAATAGATTTATACAAGCATTTTCCTTCAACATAGCAGCAAAACCAAAGTATCTTTTCAAAGCTGACCCTTGAGACACTTAATGCAGCCTTTTCTCTTCTTAATTCGAAACATTGTTATAAAATTATCTAGGGGCACTTTAAAACTGGAGGAATTTAAATAGAACAAAGCAACTCAAATGCTAAAGTAAAAGTGAATAAAATGTCTGCAAACGATAAAAGTTTGCGTTGAACTTGTATTAAAACAAAACAAATGTTTGTGAAAAAACGATAAATGTGCTTCATTAGGGGGTAACATTTGTTAAACATTGGCTTAAAAATTGTTTTTCGCAAGAGAGCTGTATCCTGTTCATGTTTACTTATTCTGTATCCTGTTCCTATGTTTACCTACCAAGTAATTTGCCAGGATTCTGTGTTACTTGTGGAGTTAAGCGCTGAATGGCTCACTTGGAATTCAGGAGGGAATACAGGCCCCCTTATTGGGCGGGGGGCGCGGGGGGAGCAGCCCAGGTTTTGGTTGGGAAGATAATTCGTTGAAGAGGAATTAGAATCCTGGCTTTTAGGGGAAGCCTGGGTAAACTTCACTGATCCTTCTTTATTCAGTATCTATAATATTTTTTAAGGCGTTTTCCCCTTTGGCTTTTTCATGAATAGGTACTCTGGTTTACTATACACCAAATGGTTATGTAAAAAAAACAACTTTAAACCTTTCAGTGAAATACCATTTCTGTCAATGAGTTCTTTTATTACTTTTCACAAAACAGAAATGTAATTTTATCTTGGCCCCCTTTCCCTAATTTTAAAATTGGGGGCAGGATTCTAAAAGATGCAAAATCTAAACAAGCTCAAAAAAGTCTTCTCAGTCTTTGCTTTGTTAATTATAAACTGCTTCTGAATGGGAAATCTCAATATAGTGGTTAAACAACCAACCAACCACAAGCCCTGGCATCCACTGAGTCTCATAAAAATTTAGAATCCCCTTCTCAAGCTTTTGTTGTAGAGCAATTACCTTTTAACAACATCCTATGGATACTTCAGTAACAAACCTCTACTGAGATGAACTTATTATGTTCTTCCCTTCATTTCACCTTAGGGCAAGGCTTTAGTATTTACTAGAAAAAGGATTTATTTTTCCATTTAAAAGTAGTACCGGGTTTCCCTGGGGGCACAGTTGTTGAGAGTCCACCTGCCGATGCAGGGGACACGGGTTCGCGCCCCGGTCCGGGAAGATCCCACATGCCGCGGAGCGCCTGGGCCTGTGAGCCATAGCTGCTGAGCCTGCGGGTCCGGAGCCTGCGCGTCCGGAGCCTGTGCTCCACAACGGGAGAGGCCACAGCAGTGAGAGGCCCGCGTACCGCTAAAAAAGAAAAAAAAAAAAAGATGGGGAATAAAGTCAATATTTTGTAATATATGTAAATGGAGTGTAACCTTTACAAATTGTATAAAAAGTTTTTTTAAGTGTCCAGTTTCTGAAAGTCAAGGCAAGCCTGAGGAATTCTCAGATTGGGGACAAAAAGGGCACAACTTACTACAACAGTGTACGAATGTTAATTTCTTATTTTTGATGTCAACATTAGGGGAAAACTGGGTGAAGGGTACATAGGAACAAAAAATTTAAAAATAATCAAGGAGATTTGGGTTTCAAGTAGAAAGTAAATGTTTGTTTGGAAGTCAGGCCAGGAGAAGGATGAATAATGCCTTCCAGGACTCAACCCTCTCACAGCTGTAGGTTCATGCCTCCTTGTATTGTATCTAGCAAACTATGTCTTCCAATTAGATAGTGAAGTCCTATAGGGCAAGAATATTCGTACTCATCTTTGTATTTCCAGCACTTAGCCTAATGCCTAACAAGTAATAGGGCTCAGGGCTCAGTTGATAAATTAATTCCTCTTTTTTTGGCTGGGCCATGGGGCATGCAGATCTTAGCTCCTTGACCAGGGATCATACCCATGCCCGCTACAGTGGAAGTGTGGAGTCCTAACCACTGGACTGCCAGGGAATTCCCAGTAAACTAATTCTTTAAAAAAAAAAAAAAAATCCATTCAGAGAAGAATGTAACTTGTTTGAATGACCAAATCTGTTATATTTATACCCTCAGTTTTCTTAACGATCTTAAGTTATCCCTTAAGATCTGTCATACCTGTAAGCAGAACTTCCTTAACCTCTGATATCTGATAAGATAAGGCTTAGCTAACTTCAATCAATATCCAGATTGGTAATAATATGGATGGGACTTCCCTGACAGTCCAGTGATTAAGACTCCACACTTCCCTGCAGCAGGGCCATAATAATATCGTCATGTGGGTCTCTGCTTCACACAAAACTGGTAACCTGATGATATCAACCAGGATATAATATTAAAATAGTTAACATTAACTTGCTTTTGCTTCAGAAACAGTTTAGATTCCAGTTTCATATATAGTAATGTACTGGCTGAAAATCTTTGACTTTGTAAGAGGGATTTATTTATTTCTTCATAGTAAACAAAACCTTTTATTTATAAATAACAATTTCCTTATGAACCAAGAGATTTATAACTAATTTTTGAGTACAGAGTTATAGAGTCTCAGCAAATTTTACTACCACCAAGTACACACATTTTCTAGATCACAGACACCTAATTTCAGAATATCTGGTACATTCAACCAATGGATTACATCTGACTTTTTCTCTTACTTTCCCATTGGCCACTTTCTATAGACTATTCTATCCTATGCCAACATTGTCCTACTGAAACCACTGCTTTGTAACTGATGAGGGAATTGTATAAACCTGAATCCCTCTCACTTAATTTCTGGTCCCATAATACCTTTGTAGATTAGACTCTGAAATGTGCCGATTACCAGAATACTCATGTATAAAATGGAAAAAAATAATCATTCCAGTCTCATAGGGTAGCTGCAAGGATCAGTGAGAAAATAGTTATAAATATGATATAACTAATGTTGGCCCAGAGTTATCAACCTTTTCTACTCAAATCTATTTTTTCCTTAGGGACTAGTTTTTCATATTAAAATTTTAAACCATTTCCTTTTTTTGATTTTTACTTACAAAAAGGAAAATAGAAACACCTACCACATAGGATTATTTTGATGATTAAATGGAAAACACGGAAATTCCTAGTATTCTTCCTGATAGAGGGTGGATGGTTAATAAATGAATAATCTACATTACAATACTGACAGCACCCTGCCCTGTGAGGGGAGGAAAGTTTACAGGCGTTGTTTCCAGTTCTCTTCAACACTTTATAAATTAAACATTGTTAATCAACACTACCTGTTTACTATTGAGGAAACTGAAATTGGGGAAGGTAAATGACTTGTCTAAGACCACACAGCTAGTAATGAAATAGGACCCAGTCGCACTGTGTACTTTCACATTCCATCAAATAGAAACTTTTCATTATGAAAGATTTTTTTCTTCCTTTTCCAAGTAAAGACTTGGTATTTTGGTTATCTTAAGGATTTTGTAAATTTTCTATGGATTCAGAAATTTTAAAATTTCTTAGAAACCTCAGAATATTATAAATACGATAATGTCATTTGGAAATTGTTCCAAATTCCAAACAAACTACTTTCCAGTTTTTTAGATAGAACATGTTTCTAATTTGGGAGCTGCCTAAGTCATACTAAAATTGTATGAAAATTCTAAATTCTATTATACTGAAATATCTTTAAAAAAATTATAATATTACCAACCTGTTTTCAAGACTTCTCATGTTAACATCTCTTTTTAATTGTGATCTAGCCTGCCATTCTCCTGCCATTT